AGTTCTGTAACTTGTAGAATGCACAATAGTTCTTCAATACCTTGGTTCTTAGAAGCCAAGCATTAAAACAGAGTAAATTTTTTATTTCAAATATGCTATAATTTTATAACATTATCAATATGCTTTTACAATGATTACTGCTTTACATATATCAGGATATCAAGTTTTTGTGTTGTTTTTCTTCATTGCCAGTAAGATGTTAGATGAAACTTTTATTCTGGGGAAGAACTTCCAAGTTATTTGGGTTGTCATCTACTTTCCCAGACCAATAGTTCTTCCTAACCTTCTACAATTACAGCAGAAGCAAATATGACTCTGTACATGTTGCATCCCCACTTAATAACTGCCGCAATCCAACACAAGCCTCTGACCTCTGTCTTGGGAGCTGCTGCTATAGGTGTAGCCTTCAAAATTCTACAACTGAAGCTTTTTACAGTGTTTTAGTAAGATATGACTTGAAGTCCCTTGGTAAGTGTGTAGCTTTCATTTCTAAAAGTGACAAACATTCTCAGTGTTTTCTTTAATGTGCAAGACCTAGTAGCGTGTCACAAGGTCAATCATTCTCTAATAAAACTAAGAGTAAGGTATATTACAGAGGGTACCTAAAAAGAAAATTATCAGTTGAAAAATGATATTTTTTTTCAATAACATTATTATTCATAGAGCAGCTGTAAATTTTGCTGTGGCAGAATTGTAAGTCTTGCATGTGTGTGGCAGCCTTAGCTCTAAGCCCAAGTCACCATGAGATTTTTATTGAGTAAATTGAGTAAATTTTATTGAGTAAATTTAGAGGACACCTCTAAGTTTTTCTGGTTTTGGGTGCTGTAAGTAGTGCCAAAATCAAGAGCAGTGTGCTACTTTGTGTTTAAACCTAACTTGTTTAATTCTAAATTATTGGGAAAAAATCAGCATTTGGACAGAACAAATACTGCTTTGTCATATAGCTGTCAGGTTCAGTATTCTTTGTGTCCATCCACATTGTATCTAGATGTCATGGATTTAGGAGGGAAAGTGGGCTTCATAGAAATGGTTTGTCTTCATTCACTGGTTCAGCTGAACTGGTAGGGGTATCTGTGGGTTTTCTGATGTGGATAGGTGCTCCAGCAGTTGGTTGTAACCTTGGCAGAAACCTTTGTATCTTAGCCAAAAAACCTTAACACTGAAGTGTATACTTTCTTGCTTTCCATACAGTCAGCACGATTTGCCCCTGAAGGCCAAGCAAAAATGGCTTTTTTTCATTCTCCATTAGCAGTAATGTTATTTTGAATATTTGTTCATAACTGTTTTGTTAAAGTCACCTTGGAAAAGGATGTATAAAGAAGCTACGCGAGTTTGTTACTCTCCAAATACTAAAATAATCTTTGAGTGATTCTTGGCAAATGTCAGATGTGTGATTATGGCAGATCTGTATTTTTCTGCTAACATTCAAGGTTATAAATTTCAAATGTGTTTCAGGGGATATCTGTCTGTAAATCCTGCTTGCAGAGCTGTCTTATATGGACTGAGGATGTACAAGGAATTATCTTGTGCCTTAGTCATTCACCATGTTAACTTAAGTCTGCTGGAAATAGAGAGTTCTTGCAGAGGTTTCAGGAGATGATCCCATTTTGCCTCCCAGAAGCTGTGATGAGAGAATATTAACTGTGCCTGTATAAAGCACAAAGAGCAGCCCATTTCAGATCTCAGTGAATGGTAATCTAGATCTTTGATTCTTAGCTATTCTCCAATATTGAAAAAAAAACAACAACCTATTGAGTGCAGCTGAGCCTCTTAGGCTAAACAACAGTGATTCAGCACTTCAGTTTGCCAACATATCATTATCTTCCAGTTTTTATATGTCAAAACAGTGTAGGAGTGTAAAACAGTAAAAGCTGATAAGGATTTCCACACCAAACTTGTGTTTAGATAAACTATTTAAATGTTCTAAAGGAAAGGAGGAAATTATTTGACTTCCGTTTCTTTCTATTAAAGCAGCAGTAAGTTAATTGGTTATGGAGTATTTGCACTGATCTTTTCTGCTAGCTAGATGTATTGGCAGTACCAGAATGCTAGGAGCATTCCCATTATCTGAGAGCAATATGTTTTAGTTACTTTACACTTGCTACAATATAGTGGGTTACTATCAGGAACTGCTGGTATAGCAGGGAGGGATAGTTATTTTCTTACGTTCTCTTTGGGAACTGGAATTCTGTCTACTGAGCCATCAATACCTCCATGTTATCACAATAATTAATAAAACTTTGTGTTTCCACAAGTAAACCAAATACATTATTTTCTAGAAAGTAACCTTTGTGATGATAAGACTTCCTTAGGTTACTAGTTTTTGGTCTAAGAGGTGATGTGCTTGTTATGATGGATCTTTGCAGGAGCCTG